AGTGTAAATGGGGAGGGGAGGAGGGGGTAAAGGGAGGGCAGGGACAAGGGGAAAAATGAGAATCGAGACCTATTATGTAAAGGTACAGAATCCCAATGATGAATGTAATTGTATTGTATGCCTAGATTGTACCAATAACCTCAATAAAAAGAAAAAAAAAAAAAGGATCGCTTTGAGTTTGAGACTAGCCTGGGCTACATAGTGAGTTCCAGGTCAGTCTCAACTACATAGTGAGATCCTGTCTCAAAAAACAACAACAACAACAAAAGAAAAAACACTATATTAATTAAAAAGATGAAAATAAATCTTCCCTGGACCTTTAACTAGGACCACTGCGGCCATTTTTCTGTCTAGCTTCCTATGAACACAAATATCTAACCATCAGTCAACCCCCTGACCCCAACATGGGGAGAGAAAACATGTATGTACGTTGAGAGTCTCTTAACATGTCCTCCTTACCTCCATTAGGTCCTGCAGTTTAGTTGGCTCTATCTGAACCATCATCTTTGATCTGCATGGAACACTAAGACTAAAGAGTCTGCTCATAGCACAATCATGTCATTTATTAATTTTTCTTATAAAATTTATTTTATTTTATCCCATCCTCCCCAAGCCCCCCACATGCCCTTTATGTACTCCCTCAAATTCTGAAAGACACAATTTACCTAAAGAACAAATAAAAGATTAGGTAAAACAAGAGACTATATCTTGTCCTTGACTCCTTCATCTCTACTCTTTCCCTCTTGCACCTGGCTGGCACGAACTGAGCTGCTTTGCTCTGTCATACCCTCTGATTTTTGTCTCGGAACAGGCTTAGAAACAATGCAGCTGAGTGACCATGGACTAAAACCGCTGAAACTATGAGCCAAAACAAATCTGTTCTCTTTTAAATTGTTTATCTTAGGTATTTGGTCACAATGACACAAAGCTGACAAGGACAGCTCCTATATATGAATTTCCATATCCTCAAAGAAAGGCGGAAGACAAGTCTGTATAAAATTTGATTTACCTCCTAAACTGTATACCAACAGACCTCAATGCATCAGTGCTACACAAAGGATACCCTAGAATACATTCATTTGTTTTTTTCTGGCAGTACTGAGGACTGAATCCAAGGCCTTCTCATTAAGGTATATTCCCAGCCCTTTTTTATTTTTTGAGACAGGGTCTCACTAAGTCATTAAGACTTGTCTAGTTAGCCTTACTGATTTCATCATTGTAAACCAGGACACTTAAAATCTCATTTAGTATTCTAAATCTTCTTTGTTGAGTAGTGGGGGGGGGCTGTTTTAAAAATAAAATACACACGCAAGTGCCACACACCCATAATGCTAGCACTCCAGAGGCTGAGGCAAAAGATTGCAAGTTTAAGACCAGTCTGGGCAACTTAGTGAGACATTGTCTCAAAAAGTGCTGGAGATGTAGCTCAGTGGCAAAGCAGTCCTATTTCAATCCCCAATATTGAAAAGATAACAAGAAAATGACATTCTGACGCAAGTTATATAAAACATACAAAAATATTACATAATGCTTACAGATAGGATATGCATGTACACATATATGAATGGTTTCAAATAACTTTGATATTTTTATTTCATTTAAAACTATTAAAAGACAAAAATGATTTAAGAAATTGAAGGGTGACTATACAACTAATGATGTTATCATTCTTCATACTCTGTCTACACAGTTTACTTAAAATATGTTAAAAAGAGGGATCAAGGATTTAACTCAGTGGTTCTCCCACATGCCTTGCAAGCACAAGGTCCCAAGTTTGATCCCCCGTACCAAAGAAAAAAAAATCCCCTGTACCAAAAAAAAAAAAAAAGGTAAAAAGAATGATAATGCATGCTGTTTAAGATAGAGAACAGCTTTACAGGTCCTCATTTTTCTAAGGAAATATTAAATTAACAACAATATTTGCCCCAAAATATCTTTCTGGGAACACTAGAAACTAATCAAGAGGCAGTTACACCCCAATGAATGCATAAACAAGAGTAAAGGCAGCACTAAGGAAGGTAAGAGAATTCAATTTTTTTTTTGACCATCCAAATCCTGGCTCTTTCCCAGCACTCTGGTTTACCTGGGATCTGCCTCAAAAACCAGTTTCTGACTTGCTTGGCTCAGCATTTAAAAAGAAGAGTGACACAATATTTTGAGGGCCAGTAAAATAGTAACTTTCATCATGTATTAGAGCAGCAGACTCTAGCTCTGAAGGTAAGCGGTAGGGAACAAGAAGAGTAAGGGCAGAGGAATACAGCAAACCTGAAACCAAAAAAATCCTTAAAACTAGAGACAAAAATAGAAACACCTATATAGGAATTGGGGATGTAGCTCATGGTACAGCATTTGCCTAATACACTTAAGATCCTGTGTCAATCCCCAGTAAGAAGGGGACAGGGTGGGCAGGCAGAGAGAGGAGAGAGGAGGGGAGAGAAGGGAAATCTATATACAATAGGATAAAGGCACATACACATACATAGCCTCAAAGAAAACACACTCCAGAAAACATCTGAAAAGTCCTAGAACTTCTAGCCAGGCTGAAGAGTAAATATGTTCCTGTTCATGAAGCCAGCCCAAGACAAAAGAGAAGCAGTTGTTTCTTTCAAATGTCCAATTTTATTTATTTGGGGGGGGTACCGGAGATTGAACTGGGTCCTTGCGCTTGCAAGGCAGGCCACCGAACTGCTGAGCTAAATCCCCGGCACTCAAATGTCCAATTTTAAACAAAAGATCATAAGGCATACAAATAAACAGGAAAATATGATCCAGTAAAGGAACAAAAAGTTCCCAATCACTTCTCAGTCTTTTAGCTGAGATCAAGTGTAAAAATAGTTCTCAAAAATCAATCTTAAAAAAACAGATGTATGAGCCAGGCATGGTAGTATATTCCTACAGTCTCAGCACTCAGAAGGCTAAGGGAGGTGGATAGTGATGAGACCAATCTGAACTATATGGTAAGACCCTGTTTCAAAATTTAAAAAAAAATTAAAAATATACATGATCCCCAGAAAATATGTAAGTTGTCACAAAGTTACTCAGTAAATTAAAAAACACAAACAACTAACAAAATCAGGAAAATGATGCATGAAATTAAAATAGAAATAATTTTTTAAAATGGAAATCTGGAGCTGGAAAATATAAAAACCATATCAAGAAGCTGACTAGTAAATTCAACAGAAGATTGGATCTGACAAAAAGGCAAACTCAAACACAGGTCATCTGAAATCATCAAGTCAGATGGACAAAATGAAAATACAATTGAGCCTGAAGGCATGGGTAACAGTGATAGAGCACACACTTAAATAAGCAAGACTGAATCCCCAGGACCTATCCCAAAAATAGAACTAATAAAGTGAAGACAGCTGAAGGGATTTATGGGCCACTATCAAGGTGATCTACATGTATTACAGAAGTACTAGAAAAAAGAAAACGAACAGATTTGAAGAATTAATGATAGAAAACTCTCCAAATCTGGGAAACTGACATACAAGTTCAGGAAGCTAAAGAATTCTAAGTAGAATAAAGCCAGAGACTCACAATGAGATACATTAAAACAAAACTGCCAAAAAATAAAAAATAAAAATATTAGAAAAACTGTTTTAAAAAAATAAAACTGCCAAAAGTCAAAAACAAAAAGAAAATCTTGAAAGCAACAAGAAAAAAGTGACTCATTACATATGTAAGAGATCCCATAAGAGTACAAGATTTCTCAACACAAATGCTGCATGCCTAAAGAGCACGAAGTAATATAGTCAGAATACTGAACGAGAAAAATTATAAATAAGATTACTATATCTAGCAAAATCGCTCTTCAAAAATGAGGAAGAGCCAGGTGTGGTGGTCCATGGCTGTAATCCCAGCACTGAAGCTGAGGCAGAAGATCTGCCGCACATTTGACATCAGCCTGGGCTACATAGTGAGTTCAAAGTAGCCTAAACTACACAGTGAGACCCTTTGTCAAAAAAGCAAAAACAAGGTGGGTGTGGTGGCACAGACCAATAATCTTAGATCTTGGGAAGCAGAGGCAAGAGGATCACCATGAGTTCAAGGCCAGCCTGGGTTACAGATTGAGTTTAGGGCCAGCATGAACTACAAAGATGACGCTGCCTCAGAAAAAAAGAAAAAGAGGAAGGGAGCAGGCAGGGTAGCACATCCCAGCTATTCAGGAGGGCAATGCAAGAAGATCACAAATTGAAGGCCAATTTAGCAAGACATTGTCTCCAAATAAATAAGCAAAGCTGGAGATATAGTTCTGTGGCTCACTGGTAGAGTGCTTGACAGTGTAAGATCCTGTTTTCAAATCCTAGAGTGCAGGGCATGGAAGGATTAACACCTTCTTTGAAAAATAAAATCAGAAAAAAAACCTGGACTCAATGGCACACACCTATAGTCCCAGCACTCTCCCAAGGCAGAGAGGATCTAAAATTGGAGCCCATTCTGTTTTTTGTTTTCGAGCAAGACCCTGTCTCATGATATAGTAGAAAAGGGTGACAATGTAGCTCAGTCCAATCCTCAGTACCATGAAGGAAAGGAAAAGCAAAGAAAAGAAAACTGCCACATGCTACAACATAGCATGAACCTTGATAACATTTCAGTAAGGGACATAAGCCTGTCATTAAAAAAAAAAAACTGTATGATTTGATTTACAAGAGGTATGTGAATGAGTCAAACTCACAAAAACAGAATAGTCTGGGGATTACCAGAGCCTTTGTGGGAGTGGAAAATAGGAAAGAATTACTTATTAAATATAGAGTTTCAATTGTGCAACATAATAACAAAATCCTGGAGAATGGTTGCCCAACAATGGTGAATATATGTAACACCAATGAACTGTAAACTTAGAAGTGACTAAAAGGGGAGATTTTATGTTTTTGATCACCAGTTTCTTTTTAAAAAATGATGAAGCGTAAAACAAATAATACGAACAAAAGTTCTATAAACTCACAAAAGTAACAAAATATGAAAATTCCTTTTTAATAAAATGTATGTAAACATACCCTCCACACACTAAGAACTCATTTGAAGCATGTCTGCCTGCTGCTGCCACTGGCATATCATCTAGGGAAAAAGAGAGAAATATAATCAGTTCTGCATACCACATGCACATTTTTTCCAACAGGATTATTATGAATATAACACTAATTTAGCATTTGCTTATGCTTTAATTTCATCCAAGGAAAATATAGGTGAATACAGAAAACTGTACTGAACTAAACAGAGTGCAACCTTTCACCATTCTCTTTTTTTGTATGTTTGTGACAAGAGTCTCACTTTGTAGTCAGGATGACCTTGAACTCACTATGTAGTCCAGGCTGGCCTCAAACTTGGGGCAATACTCCTCCTGCCTCAGCCTCCTGAGAAATGAGATCACTGGCATGCATCACCATGCCCAGCCTCAGTGTCCACTTTTACAAGCAAATCTGAGGTCTTTTTTCAAGATAAATTGCTATTTGCTGCAGTGTTTCATATTTCTTCATCATTTAACATGTGCAAAAACTGCTATTTTTATCAGGTTTCTTTACATGGATTACTGATGAGCTCTGAGTGTTGTACCCCAATACCATTTTGCCCACATGTTGTTGCTTTTTTTTTTAATTTTCCTTTTTGCATGATTACATATGTGTGAGAATCATTTTGTTATTACTGAGATAGGATCTCACTATGTTGCCAAGACTGGTCTCAAATTTGTGGGCTCAAGTGATTCTCTTGCCTTAGCTCCTCAAGTTATTTTAAGTACAAGTGCAGGCCACCATGCTTGCCTTGTAACTTTTGCTGCACAATCTTGCACACGACATGTATATAGTCATTATACCTATCATGACTGTATAACAAAGCCCAACTCAATCTAATGCTTCTACTCCATCCTCCTGCATAACACTCAGGTCATAGATGAGTTATTGAACAAGGTATCATGGAAGCTGAGTGTTGCTGGAAACTACCACATGCCACAGGAGAACTTCATCTACTCATCTATGTCCTCTGTAAGTAGAGCACTACACAGCTCAGAGCTCAGGGATACCTCCCATGTCACTGTTATACCCGCTATATTACATTGCCTTATGTAATTTTATGTGATGTGAAACAGCAGTGTTTATCAATTAATACAAATCTTTTAAAATAAAATATACTGCTAACCTATAGTCAAAGAAGTGGGGCAGGGTTGTCACAAACATTCCTCTGAATGACTCTAAATGAGAACTGAGGAATGCATTTATTTGGTACACCATGGGGCCTCGCTCTCATGAAACGTATATTTTAGAAATGAAAAGAACCTATTAATGTCGAGGTAATAAGCATAAGGCAAATTAAGTCAGAGTAAGGAAACAAACACTAATGTAGCAAAAGAGGAATCCATTTTAAAGATTAATTAGTCCTTAAGAGAATGGAAGAAACGGATACAAGGGCAGGCAGGGAAGATAGGTTTCATTAGTTGTACTTTGTTTTTTGTAGCTTTGAGTTGGAACCACACATAATCATAAAACAAAATTGTATCAAAAGAACTTGTAAAAATAAAAAGCAAAATGAAGCGAAGGAATCTAACCCTATTCTAATTTGGTAGTTTATTCACCAAAGAGTAATTCTTTCAAGTGACTTTAAAATGCAATAATGTGCATATCCCTAATAGTTAGCCTAAGGACAAAAAGATACATAGGAAGGGCCAGGGATTTAGCTGAGAGGTGCCACTGCCTGCCTCACAAGCAAAAAGTCCTGAATCTGATCCCAGGTACCAAAAAAAAAAAAAAGTTACAAAAAGGTACATAGGTAAATTTTTGAAAGGCTTTTAATAATTTTAAGTAATATTTGTCTACTTTGATAATATATTTCTATTTCTGAAACTACAGGGAAAGAGTAAAGGACTGAAAAGAGCCTAAACTCACGCAGGTAAAAAAGGACAGAAAAGTCCACCCTCACAAATATCTGGAAGCCAGAAAATTGATTTGACTAGCTGATCCAAGAACAGAATCCTTAGTCCAGAAGTAAAGCAATTATCAAAAAACTACAAAGAAAGCTTTATTTAACAGTACCAGATAACTTTCAAAGTGGCTTTAAAAGCACAACTAAAAGCAGGATTAGTAAAGGTCCAAGATCCCAGTAATGAATATAACTGTACTGTATACCTAGAATGTACCAATAAACTCAGTAAAAAGAAAAAAATAAAAAGATTATATAAAAAGTCTTTTTAGAAGCAGTTAAGAGTATAGAAACAATAGTGTACTATAATCAGTCATGTGGGAAGGGGTTATGACAGGATGTATATGTCATTTGTTTTATTACAGTAACAATTTTATTACAAAGAAATATGTTGAATGCCTTAAATGTACAGTAAAATTTATTTTTAAAATATATTTAAAATACAGAAATTTTTAAAAGCGGAATTTCATATTCTTCCTCTAATTCTATGCAGACAGGCAATGCTCATCTCCTACTATAGCCAAAGACGGAATGTTTACACCTGAGAAAAGGTCAAACTGGATCACTGAACTGGAGAATACCAGGAAGAATTACAGGTTGGTAAAGGAAAGTTATTAAGTGAGTGAAAGTTATTAACTTTACAATGACTGAGACCTTCAAACATCTTACCCCATTTGTTTCCCCTAACTAGTATGGGACTCTCTTTAGGCAGAAGACTGAATAAATCTTCTTTAAGGGATCTGAATAGCGCTCCAAAAGGAAACAGTCCAAGCAAATGCCTCAGCATTATCACCCAGTATAAACATCATCAATAAAACACACTTTTATACAGAACTTTCAAATTTTAGAATTGTCCATTCTTAACTATGAGTATACAACAAAGCAGAATACTGCACCCTAAAATAATCTCAGGAGGAAAAAGAACCTCTGAAAATTAAAAACAAGACAGCATAAATTAAAACCCAATAGGAAGGTGTTAAACCAACCTCTTTTGCTCAATTCATGAGAAAATTTACTCTGATATGGGAACAAAGTATTGCCTAATTCTATAAAGGGAAATAAGGATTTTCTAATTTTGTCCTTTGACAAGGGTTAAAACATTAATAGCCCTAAATACCAAGCAATAAGACAAAAAGATGGAAAATCAAAGGAGACAGCATCAGCTGGGTACTCAGGTATTTGTTATGTTTAAACTGTAGAGATAGGCCAGGTGAGGTGGCACACGCCTGTCATGCCAGAACTTGGGGGGCTGAGACAGGAGGACTGCTCCAAGTTCAAGACCAACCTGGGCTGCTTAGTGAGTTCAAGGCTATCCTGGATTATATAGTGAGACCCTGTCTCAAAAGTTTAAAAGAAAAAAATGTTTTAAATATCTTACATGTAATTATCTATTTCACAATTTTAAAAGTTTTAATAATTAGGAGGAAAAAAAGATCTGGCAGGGTGCAGTAATACACACCTATAGTCCCAGCTATTGGGAGGATGAGGCAGGAGGACCACAAATTGAGATGAGATTGGCCTGGACTTAGTGAATTCTAGTCTCAAATTTAACAAAAAAAAAGAGGAAGAAGATGCAATCAACTATAAAAAATGTAGACAAAGCAAGATGAGGAATGAGAACTGATCCCTGACACCAATACAGAAATAATTTTGAAAGTTTCACAGTAGGACAACAAACAAACAAAAAACAAGTATTACATTTTACATTTTTGGGGGCTCATTATGTAGCCTAGGGTGGTCTCAAGCTCACAGCGATCCTCCTGCCTCAACCTCCCAAACCTCTGAGTGCTGGGATTACAGGAGTGTGCCACCACGCCCATAGCATTTTAGATTTAAAATGACCCTCAAAGCAGGGCGTGGAGGCTGAGGCAGGAGGCTGAGGCAGGAGGATTGCTGTGAGTTTGAGACCAGCCTGGGCTACATAGTGAGTTCCAGGTCAGTCTCAACTACATAGTGAGACGTGAGACCCTGTTTCAAAAAACCAAAAAACAAAAGGTTACTATTTCTTTATATTTGCATTTTCTTTATTATTTTATATTACAGTATTTTAATTTTACATGAATGAATTGGGGTTTTGGAATGACTAATCTGAGTTTCCGTTATTTCTTATGGGAAACTTCACTTTGACATACAAGTGCTTTGGATCACAAGCTCATTTCTGACAACAATAAAATGACCCTCAAAAGTCTCATGTATCTGAAAGATGGTTGTTGTATCATGTAGGTATTTTCACTTGGGAAGATGGGGCCCGTGAGAGAATGACTGCCTAGGAATGAGTTCACCTTGTTCAACCATCCAGATACTTAGGGGCCTCTACATCCATGATCCAACTGCTCAAGCTGATAGCAGACCCTGGTGTCATCCATGTGGTACTGGTTTTATAGGCATGTAAAACACAAGAGGAAGATTCCTACCCAGGTTTCAGAAAGCCTGGGATAGCTGGCAGTATGCCCATGAGAGAGCAGTGTGTGAAAATGTAAGAGTAAAGCCAAAGGTGTAGCAGAAACCCCAGGAAGAAGTTACAAGACACCAGAAACAGGGAGTGAATGGAGCCAGCACAAAAGACAGACCAGATGCAGCTCATGTATTACCACAACCTGCCCTAAGTGCTGGACAGGAAGCTACAAAATTTAAAGTTTGCCCTACAGGGTTTCAGTCTTGCTTTGAAGCAATTTCTTTCTAACCACCCCAACATTCTTCCTTTTTGCAATGGAAATGTTTACTCTGGGCCAGTGTGCATTGAAAATATTTAACTTTTAAACTTTTTTAATTTTTATATGGCTCCACAGCTAAGAGTTTGTCTTCAATCTCAGAAGAGACTGGAGTTGGATTTTTCAGCAATGCTGGAACTGTTATGACTTTGACAACCCTTAAGAGATGAACTAAATGTATTTTGCATGAGATGGTGATGGCCTTTTGGGGCAAGGGAGATGTTATGGTTTAGATTTTAAAATGTCCCTGAACAGTCTCATGAGTTTGAGTATGGCAGAGCTATACTCCTCAGTGGATTCATCCATTGATGAGTTTAGCAGCTAAATGTGCTGTGAGAAACTTTGGTCTGGTTGAAAACAGGTCTCTTGAGGGGCTTGACCTGGAAATGTGTATGTATTCTTGTGCCCATCCACCCTCCTTTTGCTTCCTGGCTGCCATGGGATGAGCAGCTGTCCTCCACTAGGCCATTTCAACATGCAGTTTCTACCTTGGGGCCAGTCTACATCGGAATGAACCCACTGGAAATTGAGCCAAATAAACCTTTCCTTAAATTGCAGGTATCAGGTATTTTGTCCAAGAGACAGAAAAGTGACTAAAACAGTGACTAGAATAAAACCAAAGATTATGAACACTTTTCATGTACAAAAGTACAAAAATTTGTCAGGACACATTAAAGAAACCTAAATAACTGAAGCCACATCTTGATTAGATAATCTAGTATTATAAAGATCCTAACTGTCACTAAGAAAGTGTACTAAGTCAATGCAATTCTCATCAAAATCCCTAAATGGTTTTTATAAGATTTGTCAAGCTGAAATTAAAACTATTAGGGGAGAGTAAGGGATGGAAAGGACCAATAGCCAGGGTGATTTTGAAGAATACTACAATGCTCTATGTCCCTCCTCCCCCTTCCTGATGACACATACATATTGAGATACAAATATGACATTATAAAACAACATCAACAAATAGACCAATGTAATCTTAAAAGAAACCCAATCCTATATTTCAACCTGACATGACAAATCAGGCATTACATTAGTGGAGAAAAGACAGAACATTCAATGAAGTGGGGATAATTGTCAGATCCGTATACTTTACTGTATCTACAAAATGAATTCCAGGCAAAGCTAAATATAAAAAATTAAATCTTCACAAATATAGAAAAATACTCTTATAACACTGGGGTAGCAACAAGTGCTACAACTTGATTATACTAATATTTTATACAGCTGAAGTTGTATCTATCTTACTACCTTCCTATCAATTTAAAGAAATTGTAGCACATGTACACAAAAACATTTCAATACTTCTTAGTGAAAAGGCAGAATTAATCCAGTATAAATCAGTAGGAAAACAGGCGGACAGGATTCAGTTATACTTCAAAATTCAGTCATTAAAGTGAACTAGACCCATAACTAGCATGCATCCAGATAGACAACAAAAAACAAGAAAAAGAAAAGTATAGAAGTAATCATTCTATATATGATTTACTTACAACCATGGAAAGACAAATATACTATATATTGTATATGGATAACAGGTACATGCTCAAGGAAAATATCCAGAGGAAGAACATGTATCTGGGAAGAGTAATAAAAGGAAAACAACTTTGTACGTAAGTATAGCAATTTTTATCCTTAGAAAAGACATTTAAAACAACTATGGCAAAATATTGACATACATAAAAGCAACACAGCAGTGATAACTTGAGTGTGTGATCAAGTACTGAATTTTCTGTTTGAAATATTTCGTAACTTTTAAAGTTTTAATTTTTGTAAATTTATACTTGATGATTTTTAGAAGTTAGTTGATGTTAGTTCTCACAGCACTGATTATAAACTGTGCACATGTGGCTCATATTTTCCTAAATTGTTCAGTCTGGGGATAATGGCCTCAACAAGCACATCACCCAGCAGAAGCATTTTATTAAATAAGTATCGGACAAACAACTAAACAGACCTCTTCATGTAAACTTCTGCATACAGTACATGACATTACTCAATTACTAACATAACCAAATATCCAGCACCTCTGATTCTGTTCTTTCATATCCGAATCAGTCTCGTTTTTGTTAACAATTCTATATAATGTCTTCTGTACATTTTCTGGTATCTTTTACTATTCCAAAGAACAATGACTATATTTACCTAAACCGGGTCCTAATTCCTTTATAAAAATCTTTCCTAAATATTTTGAAGCTCATTCCTGAATTTTTTCCTGAATGTATTTCCTAAAAATACCTAGACTGTTTTTAAAGCTCCCTTTAGGTTTTTTTGTTTTGTTTTTTCTTTCCCAAATGAGTTCTTTTTTTAATTCCTTTCCTTAAAGTAATTTCACTCATTCTGCTGGCTTCTCTATTTCTTTCTGTTTGGATACAAACAGAATTTGAGGTGATTTCTTATAAAGTTTTCATGTACCTTCAGAATCCAAAATTACCTTTTTATGGAAAATAACTGAGTATATTTTAGAAAGTTAGGTATATGATTCCAATACAAACAAGTAAATAAAATGCCCATTTGAAAAGGCACTCTACACAAGAAAATGTGATATGAAAGTTTAAAAAAATGTTAACCTAGTAAATTAAGAAATATAATGTGTACAAGTAGAAAAGATTCTCACATGAGTGGTCTGACGAGATGTTGTGTGGAACCAAAACAAAGTCATCCGTGTCACAAGAAGAGTTCTTGCTACTAGTACTGGCAGAATCTTTGGACACTTGTAGATAGTTGGGAGGACCCAATGGTGGGGAGGATAAGTTTTCTTCCTGAATATGCTGCATATCTGAAAGGGACTAAAATTAACAACATAAAATTAAAACTGGCCTAATAATAAAATGTAATGTCTAGGGACTTTAATTACAACTTGCACACAAAAAAGTTCTAAATCTACAAGAAAAAAACCATTACAAAACAGGAAAGCAACAGATCGTGTTATGTAAGAGACTACATAAATCAATAAGGATAACTAGGGCTGAGGATTTAGCTCAGTGGCACCATGCCTTCCTTTCAAGCACAAGGATCTGAATTGAATTCCTGATACTGGAATAAAAAAGAAGGTTAACTATATGTTAGGTTAGAAATTTATTTACACTCCATAAAGAAAAATCTGGAAAACCTTAAAGTGTGTTTAAATTCTTTTGCTTTATTAGGGGGAGGAGGTGATTTTTTGGTGGGAGATAGGATAGGAAAGGAAAAGCATATAAATAAAAGCATTTAAACAAAAACTTAGGCAAAGCTACCTTTGTATCTTTTAGCATTTGCCTCATTCATGGACCCTAGTGATAATTCAATGTCCTCATTATAGAAAGGTTTTCTACAACAATTAACTTCTTAACTTCTTCTATAAGTTCTTCACAATGTCTGTGACCCTGTTTAATTTTTGCTTCTACTTCAAAAAAGGAAAAACACTACCTCATGCTTTTTAAATCCACACCTTATAATACCCAATTCAGTCCTGTTGATCCTTTGGAATATCACTGTGCAATGAAATAGTCTCAAAACACCTTTGTATGTGAGACATATATATAAACATAAAATCCCCATATCACTTGCTAAAGACATTGTACGTGAAGGGGAAGGGAAAAGAAAGGGACCAACATTACTAAGCATCAACCATAGGCCAGGCATTGTTCAGAGCTTTCCACATGTCATCTAACTCCAGCTTTATTCTTTATTCACATTTAAACAAAGGCTCAGATGACTAGGTAATTTGTCCAAGTTCACATATCTAAAAGGCAAAGTCAAGTTGAGAGATGATTTCAAGTATATGACTCCGTAATTTCTTCCCTATGATTTAGGCAGGAACTTTCTCAATTTATTCTCCTGCTAGACATAAAAACATCTGTATCAACAACCACCCTGGTCCTCTTTCCTCATTTTCTTGAAAGACAAGTTTCTCTTCTTCCATTCAAAACTAATTTCTCTAGGGCTGATGATTTAGCTCAGTGGCCTACCTTATAAGCACAAGGTCCTGAGTTCAATTCCTGGTAACAAAAGAAAGGAAAAAAACAAAAACAATCTCTCTACCTGACCTCTGCATTCTACTTACCCCTTCCTTCCCACCAACACAGATCAGCTCCTGACATTTTCACTCTCTCCCCTTATTCTATTTTCCCCCCTTTCTGCACATTAATGTGCTTAATTTTTTCACATTTCAAATCTCTACTACCCTCTAATTCCACCACTTTTTTTCTTGGCCAAGTACCCAAGTTACACCTTAGTCCTTTTCTTCACTTCTTAATGTTTCTTCAAATTATCTGTCTTCACTGACTCAAATTCTTCAATTATATATTCTTTAATCCACCAAATCCTTCAGCCATCCAGTCAGTCACCAACAAGGTCCTTTTGCTCTTTACCTGCTACTCTCAAGTTCAAACAAGCTTTTAGATCTGCAAATTCTTTCCCTTCCTTTTTACCTGCACCACTCCACCCCCTTTCTTTTCCCACTGCTTTTTTAGTTTAGACTCTTGTTCTCAAAATAATGATAATAATAAGCAATGTTTTTTTGTTTATTCGTTTTTTGGTACCGGGGATCGAACTCAGGTCCTTGCGCTTGCAAGGTAGGCGGTGGTAAGCAATGTTAATAGTCTCAGGTTATTCTCATTTCTCTAGTATAGAGAACTCTGTATTCTGTACCTCTCTCCAATCTAGTTTTCTACCTTAAAAATGCACCATGAATCTTATCATTCCTACACTTAATCATTTAGGCAGGCAGTGGCACCACTGAGCTAAATTCCCCACCCTACACTTAATCATTTAAATGAAAAAAAATCATTTAAATGGCTCACCACACAGCTTTAAGGATACTTTAAAGCACCTTTGCATGTAACTTCTGTCAAGATGCAGCCATTGCCTACCTTTCTACTTTATTTTCCCCTCATATCACAAATGCCTCATATCACAGACTGAATTATTGGGAAAAGCCTTATCCTGTGTGCAATGATGGGGAAATTCTTCATGAGAGCTGTGCTGTGGGACCTAAATTACAAGCCCTTGCTAAATGGCAAAGGGCCTAGGAGACAGTGTCCTGAACCCCTCCCATTGTAGCCACAGCCCCGACCTTTGTTCCATCCCTGGCCTAAGAATGTGTATCACTCTTGTATTGTTTGAAGTCCAGATCTGAATCTACCTGTAAATTAGAGACTCCAGACATAGAGCCCCAAGTTAATTGACAAACTGTTTGCTCATCCGGAGTGTCTTGGTGACCTATGAGACATCCTATGGGTGGTACCTGTCACTCATCAATACGTGACTGTTGAGCATGTGACTGCTGACCACCAGCTCAAGTCAGGAGACCTTTGTCCCCTGTCTGTGAGCCCAAAAATGTTAACCCCCTCTTTTACTCCCTATAAGAGGACCTCGGCCCCTGAGCTAGGCGCCTCTCTGAGCCACCTGGCTCTGGGAGTGCCGTCTGGCCAGACTAATAAAGGTCTCTTTACCATCTATCCTGGTGTGTTCCTTCCTGGGTTTCTCGTTCTCCGTCGAGCTCCCTGAGCCTCGCTGGGTGTTGGGCCCAGCATTGTGGAGGCCTTTTTGGGCTGTTCACACTCCGTGGAGTGGAAGTGAGACTTTAGGTCTTACAGTGCAAGATGGCAGCCACTAGCTGTCTATATATGGCTCATGAGCATTTGACATGTGGCTCATTTAATTATTTTAAATTTCACTTAACTGTAAAAATTTAAAATGTCCATGGGGAGCTAGAGAATTCCTTAAGTGAGTCACACTTATATGACTTTATGTACAGGGATTCCTTGGCCTATCATACCTTTTTTTTATTATTTAAACTAATTTGTCTTGCTAACTTTTTTTTTAACTGTTCAACCAATCCCCTTCTTTAAATGGCCTTCCTGTCTATTTTAATGCCCTTTATCCATATTCCCACAGGCAATGTATAATATATATTTGACCTTCTAACAGTGATTGAGGTATCCTACCTATTTTCTACACAATTAAAAGTCCCTTAATTTCAGGGACCTGGTCATCCTGTAATTCAGAGGATAATCTCTCTGAGACCTGACAAAACTGCTTTTTTTTTTTTTTTTTTAAAGAGAGACTGTTTTGGCTCAAGATGAGAAAGTAAACTGTCAATCCCTACCAACCCCCACAGCTAGGCCTGATGCCAAGGAGGATTCAATACTTCTAGCCCACTGGGTCAAAGCTTGGCTAAATCTATATACAGATACTTCCTTGCTTTTGTTGGGCCCCTTCTATAAATTAGAATGCTTCTGTACTTTTTTTTTTTTCCAATTTCCCCCAGCCCTAAAGAACTTTTGTTATTTATAGAGCACACTAATTGCCCTCTCAAATTGGTCAAACTATAAATAAACTCATTTTTTTATTTTCATGGGCTTTTCTCATGCTTGAACTCAGAAACCCAGAGAGTTTGTCCAGATTCAGGACTGACCCAACCCTGCTGGGTAAGAATTCCATTTATTAGCATAAATCAGAATTTCACCTGAAGTAGGCATTCAATAAATGTTATGTGAGCAATAGGTATTCAAGAGCTACCATTTAAACAGCATTAAATCTGTAGCTAGTATCATAATTAAAAGAGCTATTTGGGTTTTTGTTGTTGCTCTTGTGGATGACTTTGAGTTATGAATACCTTTCAAAGATTTGTCAGAAATAAAGCAGCAGTTAGTTATTTGTATGACAATATTAAAAAAGAGCATGTTAGCTGGGCATGGTGCGGGAATGCCTATAATCCCAGCACTCGGAGCTGAATGAGGAAGATCACCATAAATTCAAGGCTAGCCTGGGCTACATAGTGAGTTCCAGGGCAGTCTCAATTACATAGAGAGACCCTGTCTCAAAAAACCTAAATAAATAAATAAATAAATGTTGTATTACAAAATTGTGTGTATCCATGAGGATGTGGGAGTAGGCAAAAACTTCATGAACAAAACTCAGACTGCATTGGAAATACTAAGGATTAATAATTGAGACCTGATCTGATTAAAAAGATTTACATAGCAAAAGAAACCAACAACAGAATGAAGAGACTGTAAGACTTGAATAAGCTAAAGTGACTCCATGCTAATAGGCCAGACTGTGCTTCTTCATATGCTAATTGCTACCTTGGTAAACAGCACGCCCAGGGGCAAATGGTATGACAAAAGGTGACCTTAGAACATTTCCTGCTCGCGATAAGCAAATGTGTTTGCAGTCTTGTTCTGTGAATTTCCTGACTCTTTGTTTAGAAAAACCTTATAAAAAGTACCTCAGCCCCTGAGCAGTTGCCTCTCTGGGAGTGCCGTCTGGCCAGACTAATAAGGGTCTATTTACCATCTAGCCTGGTGTGTTCCCTCCTGGGTTTCTCGTTTCTCCATTGAGCTCCCGGAGCCTCGTGGAGGCTTTTTTGGCTGTTCACGGCTTTCAGAAGTAAGGCCCTGGGTCTTGCCTCCGGAGCCATCATTGGGCTATAGGACTCAGCATCCTGGAGGCCCTTTCGGCTGTTCACGCTCCGTGGAATGGAAGTGAGACTTAAGTCTTACAGAGACAACCCACAGCTTGGGGAAAAAATTTGATCTGGCTATTCATCAGATGAAGGACTACTATCTAGAAAAATAGAAATACTTTGCAATATTTAGCAATACTTACAACTCTTAGCAATAGGCTACTTACTCTACCCTGTTTTAGCCAGAGGCTACTGGTTTCCCTAGTTAACAGCTACCACTGCTTGAATATTTAGCATGGTTAGACACTGTAATCCTTAAAGAACCTTTAATCCTTAAAGAACCTTAAGAAGGTAAAATAATTCACTTCTCACACAAGCAAACAGGCTCAGAGAAGTTAAGGAACTCAGCACAAATAATAAAGTCAATAGGAGATGTTAAGTGTTCCCATGCCCAGTGCTCTTAAATGTGAGTTATCTCAACTGGCTAAATATACAATTTCCTCCATATATGGCTCATTCACCTTCCTACCAGCAAAATTCAAGAAACTCAACTATGCCTGGCTAATCTAGAAAATACAATAACTGACGTAACAGCCCTGGAGCCTTCAGTTGTGGAAAAATCTCAAGGCCACAGACTGCAGAAGAGATTTGGGGGAAGGATCTATCTAAAAAAGCACAATAGAGAGGAAGAGTGGTAGGAAGCAGTAACAACAATAATTAGAAATCCTCAGGATAAAAAAGAAACATTTAAATTGGAAAGAACACAGCCATTAAGGAAATGGTTAAAGAACTTCAGGAGAAAGAACAGGACCAGTAATCACAATTAAGGACATCTAAGCCCATAAAACCTGGTTCCAAGGTCAATGTACTACTGGAAATGCTAATCCTGATATTTACAGAATCTAGGTAATTTATGGCCTATCCACTTGTAATAGATACTGCCTGTAGGTATCATCACCAAAACCCCATAAAAAGGTGACAGTACTGTACTTTCTGTTCTGAAGAAAATGGCCCCAGAGAGGAAACTTTTGCTGAAGCTAAACAGCCAGGTAAGGGAAGAGGTCCAAAGGTAGGTCAATCTGACCCAACTCTAATATTAATCTTTTTCCTAAATTTCAGCTACATCAGTAAACACTATACATAAAAAGGAACACCCACAGTATAGCTGGCTCCATTTGTGAACAGATGCAATGGTACTGTAGAGACAGGGGAGTCATAGTATTATAGATAGCTAAATTAAATTAAAAATACAGGCAGTCAGACAGGGATGAGCCATCAATGTAGTCAGTGCAGAGGATAAAAACATGCTACGATTATTATAGCTAGAGGCACATCTGTTAAAGGTCAGGCCTCCTCAAGATAAAGATGAAAGGGCCAGGTCTACATGCCTCCCCAAGGGATAGGCAATATATTATAATTGGTATTACCTGGTCCAATAAAGCCTAAATAGCCATCAGTCACCCGGTAGTTGACCTGAGCCATCCCCTCCTAAAGAAAGCCTTTGTTCTTTCTATGTACACTTGCTTTTCCACTGGATAAATATTACCTAAGTGGTTATACTTGTAATCTTATTGGTTGATCATAGTATTGACCCACGTTGTACCCACCTCATGATTTCACTTTATAAAACTTCCTCTGAGAAGTGGGCTTGCTGCCAACCCACTTTCAATTACCCTCTTTCTTATCTCTCAAGAGGTATCTCTCTCAAAAAAGTTTTCCTACTCAATCTCCGTTGTTCCTTAAAATTCATCCGTTGATTTTGGAAAACACAAACTCAGTGTATCTAAGTAACATCTAGCAGATTGGGAGTTACATTATTCCCCCTATATCAATAGGCTAAAAAAGGTTAAGTAAGACCTCATTAAGATTTATTAAAATCAATAGGAAAAGCCGGGCATAGTGGTGCACCCCTGTAAGCCCAGCACTCAGGAGGATGAGGCAGGAGGATCACTGTGAGTTGGAGACCAGCCTAGACTACTTAGTGAGTTCCAGGTCAGTCTCAACTACATAGTGAGGCCCTGTCTCAAAAAAAAAAAAAAAAACACAAAACAAACAAACAAAAAATCAATAGGAAAACTTACTAAAAGTTTCTGCTTCTACCACTAAAAGCAGTTTCCTCTTCAGATAAGACTCTACAGTTAGGGCAATTAACAAGACAAAGGGAGGACAAGGGATTTGGCTCAGTGGCACAGCACCTGCCTGGCAAGCATGAGTTCCATCCCCTGTACCATAAAAAAAAAAAAAGACAAAGAAAGAGAGCCTGGACTTGGACTTGAGAGAGGTACCAGGCAACACAATTATTAACACTGAGGTGTGCTTGTTTCGGCAGCACATATACTAAAATTGAACACTGAGGAAGCCAGAAACAAAGACCAGGGAAGCCAGCTCCCCTTACCCACCTGAAAAAAAAAATGAAAAGGAGATAATACAACCACCTAAGGACTCCTATTTAACACATACACACACACACACACACACACACACACACACACACACACACACCTATGCACATACACATGTATATATGTTCTCATTTTAACATCAATATAGTATTGCACCAGATGCACACGTTCCCGTGTCCCTTTTACTTAATCATTTAGTAAGCTGCATTCCTTATAGGCCTTCCCACTTATTCATTCACTTATTTATTACAAAAGGAAAAGAAGAAACCAAGAAAAACAGAAGGAATGCAGGCAGACGAGCCTAGGTTAGATCGGCTCAGACATTAACAAGTGCCCACCTGAGGGATGGAAAGACTGTATTCTCCAATAAATAAAATGAGCCAGAAATAAAAGCTAGTGGGCTTTCAGCTCTGAAATTCCCTACCACCTTGTAGTGGCTGTTTATCCTCTTTCTTTTCCACTTTTTTCCTCAAATAAACCACCTTTTGTTATACTTAACCTTGCCTTTTTAAAAATCCTTTACTGGCACCAGGTTTAAGACTAGTGAGAGCAGTGGTATGTTGTGATATAGTATGGCGAGCTATTCACCCCTGGATATAACAGTACTAATTCTCAAATTACTTTTAATAAAACCAAAACTTACTGGTGGAGAGGCGAAACGACAAGGTGGAGAGCTGCCAGAAGAGCTTCCAGGAACAGAGCCAGCATATGTGGGCACTGGGACTGGGCAAGCTAGGGAAGAAACACAAAAAGCTGCACCACACTGTAGTGCATTACAAGACCTAATAAAACAACCTCTTAAACTACTACATCTTTGTGTTACAAAATTGTCCATTCACCTACTTACTATACCTTCTATGGGTGAAATTAAAAATACAGTACTTACTAAACTATTCCAACTTGAATATGGAAGAAATAAACTTAAACACAATTATTGGTAGCTAGGAAAAGCTCAACAAAATTTTGAAAAGCTCAGTAAAAAATTATTTTGTGCTGGGAGTTGTGGGACATACCTATAATCCTAGCTACTCAGGAGGCTGAGGCAGAAGGGTCACAAATTCAAGGCCAGCCTGGGCAATTTTGCAAAAACTGTCGCAAAATTAAAAAGGGATGGAGATATAGTTCAGTGGTAGAGCACTTGCCTAGCACATGTGAGGCTCCGAGTTCAATCCTCAGTACAGTAGCTCAAAAAATAATAATCTTATAACACAAAATACTAATGTTTCCTTCAGTTTGCATTCACTCATTAAGTAAAAATACAAAATGGATACTCACATTTCTTTACTGGAACTTGCTCGAGAAAAGGATGGCTAAAAAATGATTCTGTAATGAAAAATGAGAATGCACTCTTTAAACAATGACTGATAATTACCAATGATAGCACAAAGGATGCAGGAAGGAATGGAATTATATTAGAGCCAAAAAGAAAAAAGATATCAGTGACATGAATTCACATGAAGAAATGAAGAGCACCATAAATGGCAAATAAGTAATTTAATACAAAACTCTACAGACTTTTTTCTTCCCTTAACTTCTATAAAAGATCCATAATCCAACTACTTCTTAAAATCTCCACCAACAACTTCTTATGACCGCCACCTAAACTATTTTCTCTCACTTAATACTCTGATTAGTTTCCCAGCTTTTAACCAGCCCGTTTAAAAATGATCCTGATCCTTTTAAAAGTATTAGATCAGTTTTCCTCTGTCTTATTCTTCTCTCTTTCTGAGACAAAATATCAGACACCCAAAGTTAAAAAGGGGAAAGGTTTATTTGGCTTTTCAGTCCACAATCAGCTGTCTCCAAGGTAGGGTGGCAGAGGGGTAACAGTTTATCAGTGGAAGATAGTAAAAGCAACAAGGGAAGGGGAGGGGCCCTGAACAGTAGTCCCTTTTATCTTATGAAAATTACTTAGGACAGGTAGCGCTCACACCCTCAATCTAGTGCCTTGAGCCTAGCATTGCACCATGAATCAATTCCAGAAAAAGCTCCACCTATGATGCATGAGGCTTAGGGGGACATCAAGACACAAACCATAACATTCCAACCCTTGGCCCCCACAAGGTCTCATGCATATCCCTTTATGCAAAAAAGCATTTAGTCCATCTCTAAGAACTGCCAGTCCTAACAGTTTCAGAATTGCTGAAAAGTCCAAGTCCAAAGTCTCCTATGAAATGTTAAGACAGGGCCACCAGGGATTTAGCTCAGTGGCACTGCACCTGCCTTGCAAACACAAGGGTCCTGGGTTCAAACACCAGTACCAGGAAAAAAAAAAATTTAAGGCAGGCTGGGGATTTAGCTCAGTGGTTCCACTGCCTGCCTCGCAAATGCAAGGTCCCAAGTTAGATCCCCAATACAAAAAAAAAAAAAAAATTAAAGCAAACTCTTGGCTGTAAGCCCCGGTACAAATAAAAAGAAAATTAAACACTTCCAATATTCAATGGAACAAGATATATATTTCCATTCCAAAAGTTACAAATGGGAGCCGGGCTTGGTGGCACACGCCTGTGATCCCAGCACTGAGGCAGGAGGATCGCTGTGAGTTGAGACCAGCCTGGGCTACACATAGTGAGTTCCAGGTCAGTTTCAACTACATAGTGAGACTCTGTCTCAAAAAAAAAAAAAAAAAAAAAAGTTACAAATGACGACAGCAAGGAATGGGAACAAAGCAAAACCAAAATCCAGCAGGGCAAACATTAAATCCCACAGTTCCACTTTCAGCATCCCTGGCAATCTGTGGCAAACTCTAAACTCCAAAGAGCTTAGGCAGCTCTATCCCTAATGTCCATGGATGTAGCTCCCATGGCTTCTTTCTCTGGCTGGCTCTGCTCACTTCCCACAACTTTCCTTGGACGATTCACATTCCTGGCTTCTCCAACCTCTTGTCTCCAGGGCACCTGCAGCTTCACATTCACAGCTTTTCACATTGCCCTCTCAGGGGCACAATTCCCAAGCCTTCTTTTGAAATCTGTGTGGAAACCTTCCAGACCCCACAACTGCATACACCTAAAACTAGCATCACGGAGATGATACTAAGGTCTGCCATGAGCTGGAGCAGTAACCAGGCTTCCTTCACTCTTGACTGTAGAGGTCAAATGCTTAGCTCACTGAGAACTTTGAACCCAATCCCAAGGAACAAATTTTCTAGGCTGCTGCCATTCTGGAGCATGGTACTGCCATCACCATTCTGGAATGTAGTGCTCTGGGGCACTCTTCTTCCTCTTGTTTTGTTTATTTGAGACAGAGTCACACTACTAGCTCAAGCTGGCTTGGACTCACTAGGTAGTCCAGGCTGGCCTCAAACTCGTTGCAACTATCCTGCCTCATCCTCAGCACATAGGACTCTCTTCTCAAAGCAAATTCTTTCACCTTTGCAACTCTGAGGCTGCAAAGGGTGGAGTCCATCTGCTTCCTGTGATGCCCTCCAGCCATTTCTATTCCTTGTTCCTTCTCAGTAAACAAGGTCTCCTCTGCTCTAGGCTTGTAGGCTGCAACTTTACTGGAACTTCCTTTCAAATCTTTCTCCTGAGAGCTGGGCATGCACGCCTGTAATCCCAGCACTAGAGAGGCTGAGGCAGGAGGATCACTGTGAGTTTGATACCAGCCTGGGATACATAGTGAGTGAGTTCTGCTGAACTCTTTGCTCTTAATTCTCAACATAAATCTGACTATAAGCCCCGCAACAGTAACCATGACATCACCTTAACATTATACTGCCTTGAAATTTCTTCTACCAGATTAATTAGTCCACTGACCTTAATCTCAGTCTCAGGCAAAGTATCTGAAAATGCACAAAATACAAACTTTCTGCCAAGGCATAATATAACATGATTTGGAGTCCAGCAGCCAATATGTCCTTCTTCCCACCAGAAACCTCCTGAGCCGGTCTTTACTGGCTTTCTGGTCTTCTGAGCTCTGACCAGAATCTCCCATACAATACAACCTAAGGGATGCAGACTCTACTTTTTAAACCCATAGCTCCAAATCTTTCCTAACTCTTCCCCTTCCCACAAGCCAGTTCCAAAGACTCTTGAGTCACAAGGCCAGGAAATTTCACATCAACGACCCCACTTGTCTGGTACCAGATTCTGTCTTAGTTACTTTTCTCTTGCTGTGGCAAAATACCCAACACCCAGAGGTAAAAGGGGAAAAAGTTTATTTGGCTTACAGTTCACAGAAGTTTCAGTCCAGAATCAGCTGGCTCCAAGGCAGCAGAAGACAGCAAAAGCAACAAGGAAAGGGAAAGGGACCTTTCTTTCCCTTTTATTTTATGCAGATTACTTAAGGTGGGGTAGCATTCACACCCTTAATCCTAGAGTCCTTGAGCCTAACACTGCACCATGAGTCAATTAAGGTAAAAGCTACATCTATGACTACATTAGGTTCATGGGGTACATCAAGATCCAATCCATAAATATCCTGTGCTCAAAACCCTCCAACAGCTCCCCTTACTCTTCTAAGAAAAGCCTGTCCTTGTTTGGGGTTTTTTTTTTGTTTGTTTGTTTTTTGTTTTGGTTCTTTGAGACAGTGTCTTGCTAAGCCGTATACATTGGCCCCAAACTCACTCACTATGTAGCCCAAACTGGCCTCGAACTCACAGCGATCCTCCAGCCTCAGCCTCACAACTGCTGGTGTGCACCACCAGACCCAGTCTAGGAAAAGTCTGTTTTTAACTGGCCTTCTAGCTATTCTCCAAGCCTCTGTACGGGCTTCCACCTCTATGTCTTTGTACTGGCTATTCACTCTGTGTGAAAAGCTCTTCCCACAGACATTCATGTGGCTCACCATCATTTCAAATTATTCAAATGCCACTTCTCAGTAAGGCTTTTGTTGACTACCTTATTAAAAATTTCAATTCCCACCCAATTTTCTCTTTTACTTTAAATTTTTCCACGGTACACAGCATCTAATGTAATATAATTATACTTTATAATTTGTTTATTAGATCTTACACTGAAGTATTTATAAACTAGAGAAATGAAATAAAGAGAAAGAAAAATATAAATTATTTTAAATTTAAAATCTTTATAGTATCTTTTTAGAATACACAAAAGTCAAATTAAAAGCATGCAAAATTTGAAACAATTATTTACCAAAGTCCATTCTATCTTTCTGGTTCCTCTGAAGTAAGCCCAACAGGAGATTAGCCAAATAAGGTGATGTTTCTCTGGGAATACTGGAAGAAAGGAAAACAAAAATCTAAGTGGTGAGTCTATATATAGTAGTTACATTACTTTTCCCCTCATTATGGTAAATAAAAATGTATATGCAGTTTCATAAATACTACATCCAGAAAAATACCATGCTGAAACCTCTTATCTTCAAGGTGGAGAAAAAAATAAAGTCTTACAATAGACTTTGAGAAAAAGCATCAGTCTGAGAAGATTCCTGTATTGTGCTTGTTGATGTCTAATAGCTATAAGAATAAAGTACTTCTTAAGCATAGACATCATTTTTATCATTGTTTTTGTATTTTGTTTTGTTTTGTTGTGGTACTAGGGATTTGAACCCAGAGACTTCACACTCAGCCACATCCCCAATGTTTTTACATTTGAGAAAGGGTCTTATCAAGTTGCTAAGTTGCCCTGGCTGTGCTCAAAACTGCTATCCCCCTGTATCAGCCTGTCATGTGCTGGGATTACAGCCATACACTTTTTTCTCTCTCTTCCTCCCTTCCTTTCCTTCCTTCCTTCCTGTGTGTGTAGCTCAAGGTGGACTTGAACTTGAACTCATGATTCTTCTGCCTCAGTCTCCCAAGTACGGGGATTATAGGTGTGTATCACTACATTCAACTTGAGTTTTAACACAATCTGTACTAACAGTTGCTATAAAATTCTCTATTAGAAACAGACTCATCTCTAGTTCTGTCTGGAAAAAGGCAGATCTTAAATAAATACCAGTGAGAAATAATACAATTTCTTAAACTCAATATGAAAATGACAAAGCCACTGAAAAATAGGAATATACAAGTCATAGAATAAAACTACACAAAGGATATTATTAAGGCAAATAGAAAAAGAGACAACTAATAAAGAGAATAATGCAAATTAAGAATTAACTGGTCTTTCACCAAGTGGGAAACATCAAATCTGATAGATTTAACATTGGTAAAAATGTGCAGAAGGGAGCATTTTCTCACAGAAAATTCCATTTCTCGGAGTCCATCTTAAATGCACAAAAGTAGCTAAACACACACATGCAAACCCTCTCTTACTTCACAGAAATGTTTATAGTAACCATAAACTGAAAATAACAGAAATCCAATTACATAAAATATGGGGCAACTACAGAACTCTATGTAGCCATGCAAAAGGCAGCAACAGTTCTCTACATGCTGTCTCAGAACATCTAAGAACACTACAGAGTAGAAAACAAATTGCAGAATAATTCACAAAAACATAATGTAATTAATCTGAAATTATGTGCATGTATAAAAACATTACAATGTGTCTTCATCCACCTTATTCACAGGATCTAATATGGAGCAACTTCTGGCTCTTCCCCAAAATCAAAATGACCTTGATAAATAAATGTTTTAGGGATAAGGGATTTAGCTCAGTGGTGCCACCACCTGCCGAGCAAGCTCAAGGTCCCAAGTTTGATCCCCAGTACCAAAAAATAACAAAAAACAAACAAACAAACAAATAAATGGTTTTGAATCAATTTAACACACCAAGGCAGCCACAACAGTGCAACTAAAGATGCTCACAGAAGACTTCTAGTACCGCTTCAGAATGCTGCAACAATGGGATACTCGTGTTTGAAGCAAGCAAAGTATGGGGGGTGACAATGCACATTATAATATTTTTATTTATACACTGTATTTTTCAAACAAATCTTGTATACATAAATGAGCACTAAAATATGTGTAAAAATTCCTACAAAATTTGGAAAGATACACAGCAAACTCTTTTTATCTCTACAAAGCAGAGCTAAGCCTAGGCAGGAATTTATATTCTGCTTTATACATAACTATTCTGTTTACCTCCCAAGGAAAACATATCACTTCTGTAATTTTTTCTCTTAAATGCACCTAACATTTAAAAAATAAATGTACAGCACTACTGAAGTAATTTTCTAAATTTCCTATTTTAGAAATGTTCTAATTTTGTTAACTTTTTCATATCCTATTATAACATTACTGGTATCTAAAAAAGACTTATAAACAAAAATATATAAAACACAAAATTCAAATAACACTGTGTTCACATATAGTAAAACCCAGTGTAATCTAAACACGTACCTAGGGATTAAGCTCCTGTTTTTTTCATAAAACATCCTTAAGTCTTGAGGACTATTGGCCTGTTTAAAAATAAAAAAAAAAAAAGTTTAATGTCCTAAGCAAAGGAGGACAAAAACTTCCAAGTCATATGATTAATACTCATTTTTCATATAGAACATAAGGTATGTATTACTAAAGGAGCAATAGTTGAGCATTAGGAACCTATAAACCCTGAATCTAGGTTCAGTGTACCTTTTCTAAGGTCAGACTCTCAGAAGAGCCTGAAACAGAAAAGACAAAGACTTTCTATTGAAAAGGTTACATGACCCACCAATAGGTACCTTACTGCTGTGTATCTTTTTGTGGGGGGACCAGGGATCAAACTCGGGTCCTTGTGCTTGGGAGACAGACACCAGAACCACTGAGCTAAATCCCTGGGCCCTTACTGCTGTGTAAAAACTGGGTGTATTATACCTTAGGACCTTCAAGGGGTCCTAGAATTACGTATATTGCCATTATAAAGTATCTCCACAGCAACAAGTAGGACAGTTATAATAACAGCTGTTTCATCAGTAAAAATGCCTCTACACACAAACTAGACTGGGAAATTAAAAGTGATTAGCCGGGCTATGTCAATGACTTCTTTTTATACTTGAGTAAGTAATTTCACTTTGTTGCAGTTTTTCAGATTCAAACATCTCTGTAACTAAGAAATTACAACATGGCCATATGAACTCAAGAGAAGTCATCATACTACAGTATATATACACTGCAGGACCACCCCTTGACAGGATATCAGGAGAGAGGAAGAGAAGAAGAAAAGACTCCAAATAACTTTCATAAAACCTGTACATTTATCCCCTTCTCACCAAGAAGTGCCAGAAACAGAAATGGACACAGTTTCTAGTGTTTTCCCATACCAGCTCCACCCCTTATAAACAGATTTAAGGACCCCAAACCAGACTAAGCAGGGAACACTTTTGTCACCACTCATGCCCACTCCCCACCAGCAGCCTTAACCTCAGCTAGTTTTCAATGGCTGAGAAACACCCATCAGCCTTCATGCCCAGTCATGCCCAGTCCAACTAGAAAGAACAGGCAGATAAAAAAGGAAAAGCAAATAATACAAAGAAGTTCTGACCCATCACTGCAGTTTTTACCTGTAACAGAATCAATCTAAATTACAAAGGAGTCAAAAACACTACTGTCAAAGAATTCTGCATTTTAAAAGTCAAAGAGAGATCTCAAAATTGAGGATGTGAGAAAAGAATCAAACTACCTGAAAAGGTGGTTTTCCAACTAGGCATTGATATATCACTGTTCCTATGCTCCACAAGTCTGCCTTAGCATCATAATGTTGAGACATAATAACCTCAGGTGCCTGGGAGTAAAAAATTTCAAGAGACATGTATTATTTTAGCTATATAATTAATATGCATATATTAATTAACAGACAATGGTCACACTCGTACTAAAAAAAATAACAGTGTAATATAACTCTAATCAAATGATATTACAATAAATTTGGAACTAATTATTATATTGAGATATACTAGTAAATCTCAAAAACGTTTCATGAAAAGGAAAAATAAATGTTTCTACCTATTATAACATACAAAGTATAGTAAGAGTATATTACATAGGGCTGAGAGGTGCAGGGTGGGTAATTGGTAATGGTACTGGAGAGAAACAACAGGGACTTGGGCAGTCTGAAATATTTTATTTCTTTCTACTTAAAAATAAAAGACCAAGACACACATAGCAAAATGTTAAGTTTGTTAAAAAAAAAAGTATGCTAGCGGACCAGAGATTTAGCTCAGTGGTTCCACTGCCTGCTTTGCAAGCGCAAAGTCCTGCATTCGATCCCTGGTACCAAAAAAAAAAAGTATGCTAGGTACACAAGTCTTTGCTTTATTATACTATATATTTTTCTGTCATTTGAAAACTTTTATAATAATAGAAAAACTATGGCAGAAAATTATATTAAAAACTGTCCTCAAAGTAAAGACATTTCTCTGCTGCTGTTATGGGTACTTTCCTACCTTTCACTAAACATTGTTTTCCACAAATACCAACAAACAGGACAGATATTAAATATGAATCTCAATTATACTTAAAGAATGAGAAACTATTTTCCAGGCATAAAAGTTTATTGTCTCCCAAAAATTTTTAAATTTAGTTAACATTCTTTAATAATCGGTTAAAGCACTCTACCATTAAAGGCTGAACTAAATGTGCACTAAACAAACAGAAACCATGAGCAGGAATGGTGACCCACACCTATAATCCCAGCAAACCTGGGGCAGGAGGCTCATTGGGAGTTTGGTCAGCCCAAACTACATAGTGAAACCCTATCTCAAAAGACAACAAAAGAATGCAGGCGTGGTAATCCTATAATCCCAGCACTCAGGAGACTGAGACAGGAGAATCAAAGCCAGTTGGGCTACATAGTGAACTTGAGGCCAGCCTGAACTACACAGCGAGACCCTGTCTCAACAAAAAACAAACAAAAAGTATAAAGTAATTTTCAATCTTATTAAAATATAACATTTATTATATATAAGCAGTAAAATTATGGTCAAGAAAGTTTGATGCAAAATAATTTTTCAACCAGGTGTGGTGGTGCACACCTGTAATCCCAGTTATTTAGGATGCAGAGCCAGAAGGATCACTGTGAGTTCAAGAGCAGCCTGGGGGAGAGACCCTGTTTGGGAGACCCCCCAGAAAAATTTTTTTTGACCTTTTATGATCTCAAAGTTGGTTTTAGAGAAATTTCTTTTCCCATTTTGGTATTTAGACATACTAAACTTGCACTCTATCAATAAAATATACCCCTAATCTGAGTGGAGGAATTTGTAACTGAACATACTCCCATCATAAACTTGGAACTGAAATAGCTATATTTATTTACTTCACATAATTTGGAAGTTCTAGAACTAAGGTATTTGTAGGCTTACTACTTCACATTAGTTCACAGACTAGTCTTAACAGACATGACAATTATCTATAAAAAGGATAAGATTTTCAGCATTAAGTGTGAGGCTGAAGGAAAAAATTACAACATAGAGACCTTGTCAAGGCAGATGTTTAAAAGGTGAAGCCAGGTATAGTGAGCCTGTAATTCTAGCACTCGGGAGGCTGAGGCAGGAAGACTGCTGAGAGATTGAGGCCAGGCTGGGCTATACAGTGAGTTTAAGCCAACCAGCACTACAAAGCCAGACTTTGTCTCAAAAATAAATACATAAACAAACAAATAAATAAATAAAAGATGAGCATATCCTCTTAAGAGTGGAAGAGAATCTCCAAAAAGATATTTTTAGGTATCCCTAAGTAATACACATCAAATATAACATGACTATACTTCATAAACTTTTATTCTCAATCTAAAGAGACTTTTATCATAATAATTAATCTTTTTAAAAATAAAAGAAGTGGGACCAGGGATTGAGCTCAGTGGTCCCTTGCAAATGACTCACAAACTTGAGGTCCCAAATTTGATCCCCGGTAATAAACAACAAAAAAAAAATAATAATAAAGTAAAATAAAATAAAAGCAAGTGGGGACCAGTAGCACAGGTTTGTAATCCCAGCTACAAGGAAAGTTGAGGTAGGAAGGTCACAAACTCAAGGACAGCCTGTACAATTGTGACCCTGTCTCAAAATGAAAATCCAGAAAAGGGCTATGGGCCAGGGATGTAGCTCAGTGTCATCATGCCTACCTGGGAAGCATGAGGATCTGATTTTTATTTCAATGGGGGGGGCACCTGAGTATGCAGCTCAGAGTAGAGCACTTGCCTAGTATGTATAAGGCCCTGAATTCAGTCCCAGTCCCACAAAAAATGAAAGAAAAGAAAGAGGGAGGGGGATTATTTACTTTTATAGTCCTCTATGCTAAAGCAAAAGATGTTTGTTACTATAGCGCTACTGGTAATAGAAGTGCTATCAGTAATATAAACAACAATTCAGACTACATATAAAAATCCTGTCTTACTTGAAAACAAGAATTATACTTAGATTCCAATTCTGATGGTGCTATGCTTTAAAAACACAAGGATGCAAATGCTTACTCACCATGTACATTGGGGATCCACACAGTGTTGCGGCCATCATGTTACTATGTAAGTAACGAGCAAAGCCAAAATCCGCTATTTCACAAAATAAAACATAAAAAAACAAATGATACCTATGATCACAATGCAGATCATATGACTCTTTACAAGATAAGCCACAAAAGAATTGTGAAAAATAAAAAGCTTACCAAAATGACTGCCCACCAAATAAAAACAAAAATAACTCAATTTCAACAAGCAAAAAAAAAAAAAAGATGATAATCAACAGTGTAGGCCACTACAAGTTTTTAAACCAAGGAGCACCAATCTCTAAGTGAGCCATTAAAAGCGCTCATTAAAAATGAATACCAGATATTGAATTTGAACTGTTTTTTTCTTACCAATTGCTTCTAATAATTTTGAAATACAGAGCATTTAAAAACTGCCAGAGTCTAAACTAGACGATTTCTCAGATCCCTATGTCAAAATCTCATGATCAGGGTCATTAATTAGCTGCCAATAACCATACTATATCAGCTTTCCTCTCCAAAGAAGGAGGATTTGTTACTGAGATCCATATTTATAGTTAGCATAGGCTGCCAATAAATTAAAGAATTTACAATATCTTAACAGACCCCAATGCACTCCTTAAAAATGTCAAAACTGCACAATAAAATCCACCTTTCTAACAAACTAAAATTATCTATAAATACAGAGTCTCAAAAATGTCTTTTCCATGAAACAAGATAAGGCTGTTTACCTATTTTGATCCGAATACCACTGACACTTGACTTTCTGCGATTGGCATAAGACAACAAAATGTTCTGTGGCTTGAGATCCCTGTGGATTATTCCTTTGCTGTGCAGGATTCGCATGGCAGCTGCAATTTGATGCAGAAACACTCTGATGGTATCTTCGCTGAGAGTTCCTTTAGCTGATAGAAAAGAAGTCACAGAAATATTTAATTGCACAAAATCAAACACCATATGGGTAATCCACCAACAGAACTGAGATGTGAAGGGAGGCATAAAAGTAATAAGGAAATGGGATTCATATTTCTTTCTTTTACTTTAATAACTGAAGTCAATGAAGACACACCTGAAAAAGTTACCAACCTACTGTAAAGAAAACTGACTTGCATTTGTATTTTTGATTTACTAATATTCTTTGCTTTTTCCCATTTTTACTTCTAAAAGCACCATACCACTTTGAACAGAAGAGGTGTACAGCAAACGTGAATCTCTTACACACCCGAAGTTCCCCTTCATTGTTAATCAAATGCTGTACATGTGATAAAAGTTCATATTTAATCCTAATCATTACATGAGCACAAATTTAAAACAAGGTGAAATCCTTATGTGGAATCTATGGCTCTTGCACCTGTCAGGAATCTGTGCTCCACAGTACCTCCTTCCTTGTCTCCTCTGCTTCTAACACCACTGTCCTACACAGGATCTTTCATAACTATAGATACCTTTAAGAAGAGATATCTTCCCCTGCTCCTGGGTAGGAAGAATCAACATAGTGAAAATGACCATACTACCGAAACTGCTATATACATTCAATGCAATGCCAATTGAAATTCCAACACTATATTTCACAGAACTAGAAAAAAGAATCCAAAAATTCATTTGGAACCACAAGAGACCTAGAATAGCAAAAGCCATTATAGGCAACAGTCACATGGCACCAGGTGTAACAATTCCCAATTTGAAACTATACTACAAAGCCACTGTGATAAAATCAGCATGGTACTGGCAAAGAAATAGGCCTGAGGATCAATGGAACAGACTGGAAGACACAAAAACAAATGCAGATGTACTCAGCTACCTCATCTTTGACAAAGGAGCTCACCATCCTCAGTGGAGGAAAGATAG